GATCCAGAGGGTCTCTGGCAGGTGGGGTGGAAGGCAGGAGGCTCGTCCTGCAGGGTGAGGTGAGGCAGGGCGGGGGTACCATTGCCATGGGGCAAGGCATGGGCCGGGGTGGCTGCTGACTGACAGCATCGGCCCCCGCACACAGAGGCCAGCGAGCGCATGGGGGCCGATGGTGTCCGTCAGCAGCCACAGCCTGCCGGCCCCTCGGGCGGTGCACTCTGGGGCTCCACAGCCCTCCGCTAGCAGTTCAAAGAAGCCATCTCTGAGCTGGATGGCTGACCGATGACTGAGGAGGCGATGCAGTGCGTTGTGCCTGGGAAAAGGAGAGCATGCAAGACCAGGAACGACGGGACGGGAGGGAGGGAAACCAGACGTGCTGGGACAGATCCGGCCACGTGGGACTTCAGTGAGTTAGCAGGAGGGTGGTTGAAGAGAGACGGTTGCCATCTCCCAGGCATGGCGCGCGTGCCACAGAGAGGGCTCTAAATGCTGCCTCTGGCACGGGTGCCAGAGGTTCGCCACCACTGAACTAGACAGACCCAATTCCAGCAACCGTTCCTTGTATGTTTCAGCCTCCAGTCCCCTGATCGCCTTTGTTGCTCTTCTCTGCACTCTTTCCAGAGTTTTAACATCTTTTTTACAGATAATAATAAATAATAATAATAATAATAATAGTAAAGTTGGAAGGGACCTTGGAGGTCTTCTAGTCCAACCCCTTGCTCAGGCAGGAAACCCTACACCATTTTGGACAAATGGCTGTCCAGTCTCTTCTTAAAAACTTTCAGTGTTGGAGCATTTACTGCTTTTGGAGGCAGGTTGTTCCACTGATTAATTGTTCTCACTGTCAGGAAGTTTCTCCTTAGTTCTAGGTTGCTTCTCTCCTTGATTAGTTTCCACCCATTGCTTCTTGTCCTGCCTTCAGGTGCTTTGGAAAATAGCTTGATTCCCTCTTCTGATGGTGTGCTCCTTCCACAATGCCAACACAACCTCTTAAAAACTATCCTTGGTTATTATTGATAGAGGAGAATATTTGTAGCTCAGGGCTAGATCTGTGGGGTCCTTGGCGAATGGACCAATACTTGTTAACTCGCTTAACAAATGTGGGAAGGTGATAAAATGGGGCAAAACTCACTTAACAGCTGTCTTGCTTAGCAACAGAAATTTTGGGCTCAGTTCTGGTCGTACGTCAAGGGCTCCTTGGAGTTTCCTCAAGGGATTGAAGTCTCTCAGAATGACATGACAAAATGAAGGATGGGGTGGGGGCGTGTTTTTTTAATAATACATCTTAGCCTTTTTAATTACTATGTAATTCGAACGATCTGTTGGCTTTTTTTTTTACAAAAGGAATCTTAATTAGAGTAGCTATTAAGCGCATTCTTTTCTTTTTTTAAAAAGTACTGTGACAGGAAAGAAATTAGATGCTGAAGGAACGGGGGGGGGGGGAGGAATGGATTGATGGTTGGGGAAAGGGAAAAGCACCCGTAGGAAATTTAGGATAATTAGAAAGCCGAAGACATTTTAAACCGGAACTGGGTGATTCTCTTTCAGCTGCTTTTGTAAGCGAGGTTGATCTCCGTCGGATTCAATCAGGTAAATTAAACCGTACAGCATGTCAGGTCAATTCTTCTGCACTTTTGATTTTTTTTTTCTTATATGGAGAAAGAAAAGAAAAAAAAGAAAAGAAAAGAAAAGAGAAATAAACATCCCAACTTGTTTCTGTAAATATTTATGATTTATCAGTTGCTTTTTTTGTGAGATGTGCAGCTCTATAGATTATAATCACAAATGCTTAATATTTTATCAGCAACATCTTCTCTGGGTTCCAACATTTAACTTACTAATACATGTTAAATTCTTTTCTCTCTACCTCATTTTTCTAGCCATTGATAAAAGGTATCCCATGTTCTAAAGTATACTGAATTTTATTTCTCTTTCATTTTCAATGTCAATCTATCCATTTCTGCACACTCTAAGCAGCTCTAGATAGATAGATAGATCTATAGATAGATAGATAATCTATAGATAGATATAGATAGATCTACAAGATAGATAGATAGATAGATATATCTATAGATGATAGATATATTTATAGATAGATCTATAGATGATAGATATATAGATCTATAGAGATAGATCTATAAGATAGATAGATAGATAGATAGATAGATAGATAGATAGATAGATAGATAGATAGATAGATAGATAGATATAGATAGATAGAGATAGATCTATAAGATAGATAGGTAGGTAGGTAGGTAGGTAGGTTGACAGTCAGTCAGTCAGTCAGTCAGTCAGTCAGTCAGTCAGACAGACAGACAGACAGACAGCAATCCTCCAGCATTCAGAAGCCAAATTTATATTTCAGCTTTTGCTACTTTTCCTTCAGGCAAGTCTCCTTCTTGAGTTGATTTAGATTTTATGTGTCACCTGCGATTACGCAGATGATAAACCTGACCTTTTGAAAGATCTTTGCCGCGACTCCGCATGACGTTATCATGCTGGTTATTATGCGATCTGTCACCACCAGGCAATCACTGAGATGTTCTTAGTCTTCCAGAAATAATAGAGTATCCGTCCTATGTCTCTTCCCCCCCACCAGTCTTCCCCCTCCACAGTGTAGATTTCATTTCACATTGATTTGAGATTCGTGGCTCGTTTCAGAAGGGTTAACATTGGAAGTCATTTCCCCCCCCCCTCTTTTTATCTAACACCTTTTAGGGTTGTTTTTTAGAAGGTTTTGCATTAGAACGATGTGATGACTCAGCAACCCAACAATATGAAAAGATTGGTACAGGTAATCCTCGACTTACGACTGTTTGCTTAGCAATCATTCACAGTTTGGCCAGACCCACGGGTGGGTATGGGGGGGGGGGAGAAGATGCTATTTACAATCCAGATGTAAAGCTCTGCCAGTTGCTAGACTCACAACAGTTTCGTTTAGTGACTGTTCAAAGTTACAACGGCACTGGAAAAAATGTGACTTATGTGCTTTTTACATTTAGGGCCATTGTAGCCTCCCCATGGTCACGTGATCAAAATTCAGACTTTCACAACTGACTCGTATTTACAACGGTTGCAGTGTCCTGGGGTCACGTGATCTCCTTTTGCCACCTTCTGACAAGCAAAGTCAATGGGGAAGCCTGATTCACTTAACAACCGGGTTACGAACTTATCAACTGCAGCGATTCACTTAACAAATGAGGCAAGGAAAGTCATCAAACCAAGCAGAACTCACTTAACAGCTGTCTCACTTAGTGACAGAAATTTTGGCCTCAGTTCTCATAAGTTGAGAACTACCTGTAATCACCATTTGCGGCCTTCCCAGTTGGCTTCCGATAAGCAAAATCAGATTTACTTAACAACCTCATGAGGCCTTGAACAATTGTAGCATTAAAAAGGTCATAAAATGGGGCAAAACTCGCTTAGCGGCTATCTTGCTTAGCGATGGAAATTTTGGGATCAGTTCGGATTGTAAGCAGAGGATTGCCTGTCCAAAGTGAAAAGGGATTAAGAAGTCTTCACAACGCTCAGAGTAAAAACTGAATTTTGAGGTTTAAAAGAATCCCTATTAATAAAAATACCACACACACACAAATGTATTTTTTTGTCAATTCGGGACGTGTTATAAATCTCAGTGTTTGAATTATGAAGTTGGCATAAGAGCTGGCATGCTCTGTGGCTGGGGATATGGTCCTATGTTCCATCGTTAATAATATTAATGCTTCTTCTTAAAATGGTAGTTTGACTGAATTCTTTGTTTAAGGATGTGAACTGGTTCAAAATGGGAAACATCTTCCTGGGGATGGTTCAAATGGCAAATGAATACAGATTTTTATATATTAATGATATTAAGGACATATATATTTATATATATATATCATTTGCACAGAGGACATATTATGCTTGATCTTATTCAGTCAACCCAGTCTAGAGTAATTAAGTAGGATGTTTTTAATTAAATCAAAGGAGGTTGCGAATTGAATCCCCTTTAATGCAATTAAGCAGAAAAGCATGCGACACATAACAAAAGAATATTTGGAGATCTCAGGGCGGTCTTTACTCAGCATAATAGGCCATGAAAACTGGCTTTTAAAAACGCGGAGCATTCAAGAAGCTGATATTCCCCATTGCGCAAGAGCGCAATTGAAGCAGAAAACCATCTTAGATCAGTCGCTTTCTGGGTTACAGTCGGGTTCTGATTGTAGTTTGTCTGGGGGCAGCTAACCACAATTGCAGAGGGGTGAAATGTAGCTTCCTGCTTTAATTCACTTTCTCAGAAGTACAGTGTCATGGTTCCGAAAGAAACAGATTTTCAAAGAACTTTGAGGCTTATTCCTCTAAAAGAATCTTTTATTATTCTGCATAAATACAGCTGGGGCCCCTTGTAGTCCAAATGGCATGACTTTGAACTGATGGCTCCCCATAGGACAGCTGAAAGATACAGATACAGGCAGACCTCAGCTTAGCACCATAGCGGGGCCCAGAATTTCTGTTGCTAAACAAGACAGCTGTTAAGTGAATTTTGCTCTGTTTTACAACCTTCCTGTTAATGTAGTAACACAGTTGTGAAGTGGATCTGGCTGCCCCCCCCCCCGGTTGATTTTGCTTGTCAGAAGGTCGCAAAAAGATCAAAATCACCCCTGCAACCGTCATAAATAGGAGCCAGTTGCCCAGAGTCCGAATTTTGATCATGTGATCGTGGTGATGCTGCAACCGTCATAAACATGGAAAAGGGGTCCTAGGCCACTTTTCCCAGTGCCGTTGTAACTTCCAATGGTCACTAAACGAATGGTTATAAGTTGAGGATTACCTGCATTTTAGGGATGCTCTCGTTCACGTTATTTGCAGTAGAGTTGACCATCTGTTTGGGCTGTTTTCTTTGGGCCTTAACGTAGAAGCAGAGACAATTTCTTTGTTGATTCACATCTTGGATGACCGAATGCTCATTCCCCAGAGCTGAACCTGTCGCTTTTGTGTTTGTGTTTGTGTGTGTGTTCCAGGTGGCGGAAATGCACGGGGAACTGATTGAATTCAACGAACGTCTCCATCGGGCCTTGATGGCCAAAGAGGCTCTCGTGACTCAGATGAGACAAGAACTCATAGACCTGAGAGGACCGGTAATCATAGTCTTCTAAATAATCCCCATCACCGTCATCGTTGGGATAAGCAAGGGGGCACTTTTTTTTACACTGGAGACAAGGAAAAGTAGTTCTCGACTCACAAACATCCACTTAATGACCCTTTAAGTTATAACTATCCACTTAATGACCATTCAAAGTTATGATGGCGCTGTAAACAATGACCTGCAGCCAGTCATCCTTGTGGTCATGTGATCAAAATTCAGGTGCTTGGCATGCATACAGGTACAGATAGAGATAGAGATACACACACACACACAGGATGGTTGCTGTGTCTAGAGCAGGGGTAGGCAACCTTGGCTCTTTTATGACTCATGGACTTCAACTCCCAGAATTCCTGAGCCAGCCACGCTGAGGGGAAAGAGAGAGGTTTCCAAGCTGAGCCATGCTGGCTCAGGAATTCTGGGAGTTGAAGTCCACGAGTCATAAAAGAGCCAAGGTTGCCTACCCCTGGTCTAAAGTCCACCTTGAGCCAGTCAAGATTGAACTCCCGGCTGTGGGCAGAGTTAGCCTGCCATACTGCATTCTAACCACTGCACCACCACGGCTTAGATAGCAATAGCACGTAGACTTATATACTGCTTCACAGTGCTTTACAGCCCTCTCTGAGTGGTTTTCAGAGCCAGCCTATTGTCCCCAACAATCTGGGTCCTCAGAAAGCTGGAAGGCTGAGTCTGCCTTGAGCCCAGTCCGGCAAAGCGAAAGGAAACGCGATCCGAGAAGCTAACGTCTTGCCTCCAAAGTCCTGCACTCAATTAAACGGAGAGCTATTTGGTTTGCAAATCCTGATGCCTCCTGTAGCATTATGTTTATCTCCCCCTTAAGATTTTATTCCAAAATTTATAGCCAGCAGCGCTTCAATTAAACTCTTGTCCACCCCAATGTACTGGCGAGGCAGGGCCATAAAGAAATCTGCCACCAGATCATTTTATATGGCACCATTATTGCGAAGGACACAGTCCCCTTGTGTCTCATAATCATCTTGTGATTACTTCATTTCCAGCAGACCATTTTGCTTCTTCAGAACGTCGACATATAAGCTCAGCCCACATTCAGGAGTCTAGAAATGCCGTTCGGAGTCAAGAGACCTGGAAGCCTTTTCAGACCCTGGTTTATTATTATTATTATTATTATTTTTAATTGTTAACATCCTGTAATCAGATCAGAGTGGCTCAATTCACAGTTTGTTCCGAGCCACCATTTTATTACTGGCAATACACAGGCAGTCCTTGACTGACTGTTTTGAAGTTACAACGGCATTGGGAAAAAAGCGACTTATGATCTTTTTTTTTTCACGCTTAACGACCAGTTGCGTCATCCCCATGGTCACGTGATCAAAATTCAGCCGCTTGGCAACTGGGTCCTGTTTAACGACCCACTATGAACGTTGTTATGCATGCAAAATGATCGATGGTTGTGAGCCGTGAATTTCCAGGGGCAAGGCTGGATAGAAATAGAAATAGCCGTCTAGAAATATTGTGTATATTGGTGTGATGAAACATAATAATTTATGTATTATAAAATATAATAATATTCTAGAAATAAGGGGAGATGTTCTGACAGTGAGAACCGTCAGCCAATGGAACAGATGGCCTTCAGAAGTTGTGGGAGCTTCCAAGAAGAGACTGGAACGCCATCTGTCAGAAATGGTGTAGTCCAGGGATGTCAAATCAATTTCATTGAGGGCCGCATCAGCATTGCAGTTGCCCTTGGGGGGCTGGATGGGTGTGGTCAGAGTGGATGCGGCCTATTGGGTGGGCGTGGCTGGAGTGGGTGTGGCCTACTGGGTGGGTGTGGCCAGCTCTACATCATTCGCGTCAAGGGTGCCTGTGGGGGCCTGGGCAGGAGTGGGACAGATCTGAGGGTCTCTGGCAGAAGAGGGTGGGACCAGGGCAAGCGCCAAGGCATGGTCCACTGGAGGAGCCTCACTGTTCCTCTCAGGCCATGGGAGGGCTGGATGATGGTGTGAGCTGCCCGGATCCGGCCCTGGGCAGCAGAGGTCAAACGCCCAGCCTGGCCCTCGAGCACCCATGGCACCAAGCCCAGCCCCACTTCCCCAAGGGGTGCCCAGCTGCACTTACCTCCTCCTCAAGGCTGCTGCTGCTGTGCTTGCTCTCCTTAGCCAGGTTGCTCATGATGGGTACTAGGGCAAAGTCAGGGGGAGACTGAATGCGTTTCAACATAGATGGCCACCACAAAATTGTACATTGGCTCCCGGCCGGCCAGCCTGGGCCAGGGCCAAGGCAGTGGGGACCGTTCCCTCACTGTTTCCAGGATGGCTTCACAAGCCACGTGAAACCACTTTGTGGGCCGCATCCGGCCCCCGGGCCTTGTGTTTGACATGTCTGCCTTAGTGGCGCCTGCATGGGCGGAGGGGGCTGGACTAGATGACCTACAAGGTCCCTTCCAACTATTCTATTCTATTCTACTCTACTCTACTCATTTTTTCTATTCTATTCTATTCTATTCTATTCTATTCTATTCTATTCTATTCTATTCTATTCTAAATATAGTCCTAAATAATATATAGAAAATAAATGAGAATCATAAATACATCTCGGGCGATATTCCTCAAGTATTTTCAGCTGCCGTTCTCCAACTATTTGATGGGCTAATGCCTTTTTTCTCTGCCTGCATTTCTAGGATGGGTTCTGATTTCTCCCTGCCCTTTTACAGCTGCAGACATAAGCTGTACATTTAAAACATCCATGATAACATTTCCTGATGGTTACACTAATTAATCAGTGGAACGGCTTGCCTCCAGAAGTTGTGGGTGCTCCATCGCTGGAGGTCTTTAAGAAGAGATTAGCCAGCCATTCGTCCGGAATGGCCTAGGGTCTCCTGCCTGAGCAGGGGGTTGGACTAGATGACCTCCAAGGCCCCTTCCAACTCTGTTATTCCATTCGGTTAATTTATCCCACCAAAAAAGTACACTCCGTATTTTTTATTCCTTCTGCTCGTCAAGCACACTCAACTTCAAATATGTTTGGAAAGACAAGAACATCCAGTTTTGGAGAGGCGCTGAATAATAAGCCCTATATATCAGCCGAATGTCTTTACAATTTTCAAAGCATGAAGGGGAATTGGGAGAGACTGGGTGGGGCTCCGTTCCCTCTGCCACTTTGAATAAGCCATAGAGCAAACCAGATTTTAAACATCTTTCTAGGCTTTCAAGCTGCAGCAGTATAAAGACTAAAAAATTTCCTGAATTTCTAACCTCTATAGAGGTCCTCATTCAAGAGAGTCCTGTAAAATATTTCTCAAATAATACACCCTCAATAATGTTTTCCCTTCCTAGAACCATCGTGTTAACTTTGGGGGATGTACATTTTTATTATTTTTTAAAGGGATTGTAAAGGGGGGGGGGAGAGAAAGGCTTTGAGCCAAGTATTTGCTTTGAGTTACAACTCTGTGATGCTGATTTGAAAGACTGCACAGAATATCAACCTGGTTCGTGTATAATTCCAAGCCATAAAGGGCTTTGAGTTTTCTTTTGCCTGTGGCTTCACATCTTGTGTGAATTTTGTGACTGTGTTTTGTGTATGAGTGGTCCAAAAGATTCCTGCCCTAGTGTGATAAACAAGTGGGAACCTTACATTCCAACAGATGCAAATGCAGCCTGTATTTAAAAGGGAGGACAGCACAGTGTGCCAAGCCAGCTTTCGTAACATCTGAATGATCGTCGCTTTCAGGAGTGCAGTTTTTATACAAGTCCTCGGCTTACAGCCATAACAGCATCCCCATGCATAGAATACATAGAGGCACAGAATCAAGATCACGCAAAGTACTAGTGCCGCTTTATAAAGTCCCAGTAAGACCACACCACACAATACTGCAGCCAGTTGTGGTCACCATATCACAAAAAAGAGATTTGAGAGTCTGGAAAAAAAATCAGAGAAGAGCAACTAAGATGATCCAAGGCCTGGAGACTAAAACATACGAAGAACGGCTGCGGGACTTGGGTTTGGCCAGTCTAAAGTAAAGAAGAAACAGGGGAGACATGATAGCAGTGTTCCAGTATCTGAGAGGCTGCCACAAGGCAGAGGGGGCCAGGTTGTTCACCAGAGCACCAGAGGGAAGGACGAGAAACAATGGTTGGAAGCTGATCAAAGAGAGAAGCAACCTGGAATTAAGGAGAAACTTCCTGACAGTGAGGATAATCAACCAGTGGAACAGCTTGCCTCCAGAAATCGTGGGCGCTCCATCACTGGAAGTTTTCAAGAAGAGACTGAACAGTCACCTGACTCAGATGGTATAGGTCCTCCTGCTTGAGCAGTGGGCTGGACTAGAAGACCTCCAAGGTCCCTTCCAGCTCTATTCTGTTGTAAATTCTAAATACTCACGTGTTCGGAATTCGGGTGCTTGGCAATCAGCATGTCTTCAAACAGCCGCAGTGTCCCAGGTTCACACAATCACCATTTGCCGTCTTCCCAGCTGGCTTCCAACAAGCAAAGTCAACGGGAATAGCTGGACTTGCTTAACAACTGCAGTGATTCGCTTAACAACCGTGGCAGAAAAGATCATAAAATCGGTTGTGATTTAATAGAAATTCAGGTTTTAACTGAGTAGGTCGAGGATTGCTTGTACCCCTACATCCAAATTAGAAATGTGGAATTCATCTGGGATGGGCCTTGCAGTACTTTTTGTTTCACCAAAAGTGAAGGAAATGCCGGAGAACTCTTGTTTTTGCTTAACTGTTGGAGAGGAGAGGTCACCTCTGTTCAGTCTGTAAAGTGGCCTATTGTTTTTTTTAGTGACATTTTAAAAGCTGGCTTATTTATCTCTTACTGGCTCCAAAGCCAATCTCTTTGGTAAGAGTGGCGAGGGTGGTTTTTCTTTCTTTTTTAATAAAAAAAAGGTCTTTAAAAAATCAAGCTGAACTGAAACGGCAAAGAGGCTTTCAAAATAACCTTTCTGCACAAAATTTGTTCTGCTAAGTGACAAAATTATATATGCTGTCAGCCATCCATCTGACTCTGTCTCTCTCTCCATGTGTGCGTGTTTGGATGTGTACATGCATAATGAAAAGAGAGGAGAACAAAACACACAAAATTGTACACAGCCCAGCTGTGTGCGCTTCCACCCAGAAATTGGCAAGCAGGCAGGCAGGTAAGTTTGAGGCTAGGGAGGAAAAAATATTGGACGCTTAATGGTCCTCTTTTGGGGCTCACTAGCGGACCCAGGTGTAAAGCAGATGCCTCTGAAATGGATGTTGGAATTGTTATCGCGTGCCTTGTCAGAAGTTGGTGCAAGAATTAACTCACAGTCCCACAATCCCTGGAGAGCAGCAGGCTGCCGATTCGTAAATTAAATGATAGGGTTCTTTTGTGCTTGTTATTCCTTCCTACCCCCACGTACCCCCGGGCCAGAACTGTACTGAATTCACAGTTCTTTCATGCAAAATAAAAATAAAAATGAAGACTTTACATGAATTTGATTTGTGTGTTTTTTTTTCCTATCCATTGCTCTCTGGAGGATGTTGGGCAACAAAGATGTCAGTTGATCCTTGACTTACGACCATAATAGAGCCTGGCCATCATGGTTATAATACAGAAGAAATGCGAAATTTGAAAAGACGTGGCTTGAAAGATCATTTTAATGGTTGGGTTCCTGAAGTCCGAAAGTTCAGATGCTGACTTTTGAACTGGATTAATGTGTGCTAAACAAACACTTGGGTTTTGTTGTTGTCATTACTGTATGCCTCGCCACCATCCTCATCTTGACAGAGATTTGTTACTTGAACTTTATGATAAAGATTTTTTATGAAGGGTCCTTGGTGCTCTCTGAGCTTGGTTGTTTTCTTGCAGGCGTCTCATTATTCAACTAGGTAACATCATCAGTGCTAGAAGGGATGGGCTTTGAGGAGAGGAGGAGGAGGACTGTGGGGTGCTTGGTGCTCTCTGAGCTTGGTTATTTTCTTGCAGACATTTAATTACCCAAGCTAGGTAACATCATCAGTGTAGTGATGATGCACTGATGAGGTTACCTAGTTGGGTAATGCAACGTCTGCAAGAAAACCACCAAGCTCAGAGAGCACCAAGGAACCCATAGTCACTCTCCTCCTCTTCCTTCTCCTCCTCTTCCTTCCTTTCTCTTCCATTTCACAAAGCCCAACCCCTTCTAGCACTGATGATGTTACCTAGTTGGGTCATGAAACATCTGCAAGAAAACATCCAAGCTGAGAGAGCATCAAGGAACCCCTCTTCCTCCTCCTCCTCCTCCTCCTCCACCTCCTCCTCCCTTCTAGCACTGATGATGTTATCTAGTTGGGTCATGAAACATCTGCAAGAAAACATCCAAGCTCAGAGAGCACCAAGGAACCCATCCTCCTCCTCCTCTTCCACTTCACAAAGCCCACTCCCTTCTAGCACTGATGATGTTACCTAGTTGGGTCATGAAACATCTGCAAGAAAACATCCAAGCTGAGAGAGCATCAAGGAACCCCTCTTCCTCCTCCTCCTCCTCCTCCTCCACCTCCTCCTCCCTTCTAGCACTGATGATGTTATCTAGTTGGGTCATGAAACATCTGCAAGAAAACATCCAAGCTCAGAGAGCACCAAGGAACCCATCCTCCTCCTCCTCTTCCACTTCACAAAGCCCACTCCCTTCTAGCACTGATGATGTTACCTAGTTGGGTCATGAAACGTCTGCAAGAAAACCACCAAGCCTAGAGAGCACCATGGAGCCCTCATTTAACCCCAAGCTACCAATATTCTCCTTTACATATTTTTATATCTAGTATGATTTTCGTTCTGAATTACTACGGATTATTTTGTTGGGTGGATATTCTTAATAATTAATGTTGGAATTATTACAGCTGTTACTATTCAATATTGTGAAATATTAACAGTATTTGTCTTAGGCTTGTTTTGGAACATTGTGCTACCGGTAGTTTTGTTTAATTGCAAACTGTCTTGAGCTTGTCAGATTTCAGCACACCCATTAAATGGATACATACATCTCTTTTTTAAGACATAGTGACAAATTATTAGGTTTAATTAGAGTTGCTATTAAGCAGATGGGGGCAAGATTTACTTCTAATGTTGTTATGTTGGAGCTTGTTGAAGGATCTAGTTGGAACTTTGATCCTAGTGGAAGGATTGAGTAAAATAATTGGTCTTATAATTTCCACGCTCATGGTGGGAGCTTTTAAGGGGGCTGTCAATAATAGCTAAAACTTTGAAATGACAGCATACAATAGTAATAATGACAGGATCAAGAGGAATAACTGCAATTTTTAAAAATGCTATGCTTGCCTGGAAAAAGTGCATGATTTTATAATGGCTATTAATGTCCAGAGTGCACTTAGATTAAGGCAATCTAACACATCAAGAGAGCATAAGAAATATGCTGTAGTTCTAATGACAAGTAAGTGTGCTACATTCTAGGTCACTGTGTTTTAATTATCTGAGTCATTAAGTCTAAAAAGAGCGGGAATGAAATTCACAAATTTTAACAATCCTATTGATCACCTTCAGGTAACCTTTTTACTTGAAGTATGGGGCTGTGGCGTGCCTGGCTGAGGAATTCTGAGAGTTGAAGTCCACAAGTCACAAAAGGGTCAAATCTGAAGACCCCTGATATAGACTTTAAGAGGAATGGACTTCAACTCCCAGAATTCCTCAACCAGGCATGCTGGCTGAGGAATTCTGAGAGTTGAAGTCCACAAGTCACAAAAGGGCCAAGTGTGAAGACCCCTGCGTTAGGCATATGCAGGGTCTAAATCCATTCTTGGAATTAAAGGTGGTACTTGAGGCTATTTCTTTCTTTTAGGGTACCCTTTCTTCCCAATTTTTGTTTTAAATTAATGAATACTACATCGCACGGCTAAGGGAGATATTGAGATTTGGACTTATTTTGAACTGGGGGTTCCTAGTTGTAATTGGAGAAGCTTTTTAATATTATCCTTAGTTTCCAAAAGATCATGGTATGGAATGCTTGATGTTTGGCACCTTCTAAACCAGTGTTTCTCAAACTTGCAACTTGAAGGTATGTGGACTTCAACTCCCAGAATTCCCCGGCCAGCATGGCTGACTTGCAAATTCTGGGAGTTGAAGTCCACACACACATCTTAAAGTCTCCCAAGTGTGAGAAACATCGCTCTAAACCAGTGGTTCTCAACCTTTTAAGTGCCGCGACCCCCAACCGGTCGTAAGTCGAGGACTACTCAACCGGTCGTAAGTCGAGGACTACTCAACTGGTGCAGCACCGTTTGCAGAATGGGACTTTTGGCGGGCTCAGCAGGGCAGAGACAGCCTGGACAATTCCTATTGGCTTTTGAAAGCCAATAGAATTAGACTCTATTCAAGAGAGTCTATTCTATTGGCTTTCAAAAGCCAATAGAATAAAAGGGAGTAGCACAGCTAAGGAAAAGGGGGGGAAAAATGGCGGACTGCGTTGTTTGGTGACCCCCGTGAAATGGTCATTCGACCCCAAATGGGGTCCCGACCCACAGGTTGAGAACCACTGCTCTAAACTAAAGCTCTCTTGATTTCACTAAATTAGTATAATCTTTTAGATTTCTAAGAAGAAACAATAGATCCTCTTCACAATTCGCCTTTTCAAGAGCTTCCTTTCCTTTGTGAGCTATCTCCACAAATCCAGCCCCTCTATCTTTGTGAGAGTATATTTTGATTAGACAGTAAGGAAAATAATGTTCTTGATTATCAGCGTTGGACGATAGCTGTCATCAGATCCAAAATAAAATGCCATTTTTCTCAGAACGTAAGCAAAGCAGCCAAGTAAAAATGGCGTAAAGCTTCTGTTCCACAAACGCACCCATGTTTTGCCAGTCAGAACATTGTGAGGCCCCTCAAATCGGGAAGAGTAAGGTTGCAGAGCCCACACTGAAAGATCCTATGTGAAAGGAAATAAAAGATAAGGAGCTCACTTTTGGTATTATGAAGAAACTGGAAATATTGGAGCATGAAAGAAACACTGAATTTGGGAACCAGTCCAAAATCTCTTTCATTGACTTTCCTAAATTTAAATTCCCGTTTCTTTAAGACTCGCATGTTTTGAATCTTACTGCAGCGTTCGTGCTGTCTGCAATAAGATGGTCAGCTCTCAGGCTTTTGAAACTCTTGAGCATTCTTATTTTTTGAAGGAAGTGTTTGCCAAGATGCAGGAATGATCTATAAAACTGCAATATTGTCCAAGCTGTGCCGAGATTTCTATAGTAGTATTAATAATAATAATGATGATGATGATGATGATGATGATGATGATGATGAAGTTGGAAGGGACCTTGGAGGTCATCTAGTCCAACCCCCTGCTCAGGCAGGAAAACCTATACCATTTCAGACAAATGGCTGTCCAGTCTCTTCTTAAAAACCTCCAGTGTTGGAGCATTCACTACTTCTGGAGGCAGGTTGTTCCACTGGTTAATTGTTCTCACTGTCAGGAAGTTTCTCCTTAGTTCTAGGTTGCTTCTCTCTTGGGTTAGTTTCCAAGCTTCTTCTCTTGCCTTCTGGTGCTTTGGAGAATAGCTTGACTCCCTCTTCTTTGGGGCAGCCCCTGAGATATTGGAAGACTGCTATCATGTCCCCCTTCGTCCTTCTCTTCATTAAACTAGACATTCCCAATTCCAGCAGCCATTCCTTACATGTTTTTGCCTCCAGTCCCCTAATCATCTTTGTTGCTCTTCTCTGCACTCTTTCTTGAGTCTCAACATCTTTTTTACATCGTGGTGACCAAAATATTCCAAGTGTGGCCTTATGATTCCCCTGGGAATGATAGGAACAGAGGCTGTTGGATTTAGGAATTAATTTTGGGAGATTTGCTGTGGCTCAGGCCACCCTTCTCCGCTCTTTAAGACAATCGGTGAAGTAGGCCCAGCGTTTAATTATATTTTTCCTTCCTTCCTTTTATTGCCTAGGTTCCCGGAGATCTCAGTCAAACCTCTGAAGATCAAAGCCTGTCAGATTTTGAAATGTAAGTTGTTAGAAAGTTTGATGTGTTTATCTCATCCCCGCAATGGCTTCAAAAGAGCGATTTTCAAGTAAATGAGTCATAATTCAGGGTTCTTTCTGTCTGGGGAATGTATTCCCCACTTTGTAACATAACCGTGGCCTTCTTGATTTGGCTCCTTATTCCATGTGCTTTGATTATTGGTAGCATCTACCAGTGGAGTCTGTCTTATGGCCTGTTTGTACTTCCATGCAAGATTGTATATACTGACTTATATTTGAAATAAAAGTGAACACCCGGGAAGTTAAAACTGTAAAAAGTTTAATTAAAAAACGCCAAGCTTTCGCTGGCATCTGCTGGCATCGTCAGGGCTTAAAATGCTAGGAAGTGAGGAAGTCCTTTTATAGGTCAGCTGAGATCTGCGCCTGGCTCCTCGATCTTGTTACCGGACCTAATTGAGTAAATTGTGCTCTGGGTGCAGATCTCAGCTGACCTATAAAAGGACTTCCTCACTTCCTAGCATTTTAAGCCCTGATGATGTTGGCAGATGCCGGTGAAAGCTTGGCGTTTTTTAATTAAACTTTTTACAGTTTTAACTTCCCTGGTGCTCACTTTTATTTCAAATATGGACATACCCAGGGTTCACATTTTTAATGTTATTATCAACTGACTTATATATATATATATCTATATCTTTTTTGTCACCCAGATCAAACCGAGCACTTATAAACGTCTGGATTCCTTCAGTCTTTCTCCGTGGGAAAGCAGCAAATGCATTTCATGTTTATCAAGTAAGCGTTCTGTTCAGTGAGGGTATATTGGATGACTCTCATTATCCTAGTGTCAGACCGGCCCCAGTTTGTTCCTTAGGAAAGAGCCAGCCTTGACTCCATGGGTATTAAAGAAAAAGTATTTTTACTAGAGATGTCGAGTGCAGTGTGAGCGAGGCAAGCTCCGGAAGAAAATGGGATGAAAATCATATATTGAAAGCGATCCCCAATGTCCCCAAAATCCTGGACCCTGCGAGAGTAATCCAATCAGGTCCTGTTCCGATGTTTTGGGAACATGGTGCCTCCGGCGCCAAGAAGTTTGGCTTCATTTTGGCAGCTTAAAGTTTGATCTAGACATGGGTGGTGGTGGTGGTGGTGGAGGAGGAGGAGGAGGAGGAGGAGGAAGCAGGAGGAGGACAAGGATAAGGACAAGGTGGAGAAGGAGAGGTGGAGGAGGAAGCAGAAGAAGCAGGAGGAGGACAAGGACAAGGTGGAGAAGGAGAGGAGGAGGAAGAGGAGGAGGAAGAGGTGGTGGTCATGGTTAAACAAATCCGGCTTCCCCTACTGACTTTGCTTGTTGGTAGCTGATTGGGAAGATCACAAATGGCAGTCATTTATGCTGTAAGTCGCCCGGAGTTGTTGGATACGAGATGGGTGGCAAATGCATTTTATGAATGAATGATAGATAGATAGATAGATAGATAGATAGATAGATAGATAGATAGATAAAACACGTGACCCTGGGATGCCACAACCCATCTCAATATACACTGATTGTCAAGCATCCAAAATGTTGATCACGTGACCGTGGGGATGCTGCAACGATTGTAAGTGTAGGACCACTTGTAAGTCCTCTTTGTCAGCGCTATGGTAGCTTCGAAAAGGAAAGCCTCTTCCAGCCAGGGTATATTTGTCGTCTATTTTCCCACATTTAAACAAAACTGCTGGTACTTAAGCAGGGAAAAAAACATATGTGCCAGCATATTTCATTGCGTAGCAATTATCTCCTTTTAATGAGGCAAGGATGCATTTAGTATTGGAGCTGTCATCCTTGGGTCATTGATAAGAAGGGGGAAAAATATGTTTCCCTCCTTTACTTGTGCGTGTTCCCACATTACTTGTCTACAGGAATGACAGTGTGGAAATTGTTTTGCAAGTACTTGGAGATAAGCTGACTTTAAGCCCAGGGAAGATACTTGGCATCTTCAAACACTTGATGTGACCGAAACATCAAAGTCACCCACTGGACTTCCAGCCAGAAGATTATCAGCTGATACTTAAAGCCTGCCATTTTTATTTTTATTTTGTTACTCTGAAATTGGAGGGTTTGTCCAGCATATTAAAACTGAACATGGTTGGGTTCCTTGGCTTTGATTTAGTGCACTGTCAAGTCTTTATAATTTGTAAACAATGATGGAAGGTTGTTTATGTGCTGTGTGACTGCAGCCATTCAATAAATCTTGGCTTGGTTGATCTATAAATTCAGGCAATTATGGATAATCTTTCTATGTACCATGTGGCCTTCACTCTGGTTGATATGTTGCCTGTGATCTGCTTGATTATGATTTGTGCAGGAAGACAGAATTGGTTCAGTTTTCTAAACACTAAGTCATAACTCGGAGTTTATGAGCTACGGTGGCTAAGCTCTACAGCTCACTGAGCCCAAATGAAAAAAATCATATTGGCTCAGTGGCATACAAAGCATTGAGGGCTGATAGGCTGGCATCTCCTCTATATTTTTGGATGTTGGGTTTTCGAGCCAATATTAGTTCTTGTTTCATGTCTGTTTCTGTTGTTCCTGGTGACTGGCTATTAAGAACATTTCTTAGACTCGTTTTGTAGTGAGTCAAGTTTTTTACTCAACTTTCTTGGAGAGACACTTCAAAGTTTCATTTACAACTAACCTCTAGGTGGTGATAGCTACCAGAAGCCTACTTAATGCTTTGGCAGGAACCAAATAATTCTTGTGGACATATCTGTGTTTACAGTCTCATTCTGTTTCTGAGTCAAGTCTCACCTCCTCCGCAAATCTTCCACAGACACTATAGTAAATTTAATAGTCCCCTTCAGTGGGCAGGTGTTGACATATCAAACATTGATAAATTATTGGGAACATAAACGCTCTTTGTAATATTGTTTGAGGGAGGATTTTATACAGTAGCTGTTACTGTAGAGTTACGTTAGTAGTGTATACATTTTTTTTACTAGTATATGAACAGTACAGATGGGAATAATTTCTGATATTGGTGCTAAATTTTTCTAATCAGCACAGCTGAATGAGTTACTCTACCTGTAAAATTAGCAGCTGTGGTGAGGTTGCTGTTAAGTATAAATGAACACAAAGCATTTGAACTTTCTCTGAAGGTAGTTCTTGATTTATAACCACAAATGGAACCAGCATTTCCATGGTTAAGTGAATTGCGCCTGATTTTACAGCCATGATTGGGAAGTGAATCATGGTAGTTGCTAAGTGAAGCACATGTTTTTTAAGCACCTCTGGCTTCCTCTGTTGAATTTGCTTGTTGGAAGCTGGTTGGGAAGATGGCAAATTGTGATCACGTGAATTCAGGACACTGCAACCATCACAAATACAGGGTGGTTACCAAGCATCCTTTGATCATATAATGAGGGGATGCTGCCATGGTCATAAGTGTGAGGAGTGGTCATAAATCACTTTTTTCAGTGCTGTTATAACTTCAAATGGCAGATAAACAAATGTCAAGGATGATCTGACATCCAAGTTGAAGTCAGGCTGAAGCTTCAGCACCCTGGACAGTTCCAGACCTAGAATTTGCCTTGCTGAGGGCTGGAGATGGACTATTTCTGGCTTATTCAGCAAAGCAAGCTTGAGTTTAACTCTGGCTCCAGTTATTCTTTTTTTCATATTTTGAGTGGCTTAAGCCTGGTTTGGATAGGAAGAAATCTTCCGTGGCTCTTGCAGGTCAGCATCAGATAATAATGATAATGATAATAAAAGTTGGAAGGGACCTTGGAGGTCATCGAGTCCAACCCCATGCTCAGGCAGGAAACCCTACACCATTTCAGACAAATGGCTGTCCGATCTCTTCTTAAAAACCTCCAGTGTTGGAGCACCCACAGCTTCTGAAGGCAGGTTGTTTCAGTGGTTAATTGTTCTCACTGTCAGGAAGTTTCTCCTTAGTTCTAGGTTGCTTCTCTCCTTGATGAGTTTCCATCCGTTGCTGCTTGTCCTGCCTTCAGGCGCTTTGGAGAAGAGCTTGACTCCCTCTTCTTTGGGGCAGCCCCTGAGATATTGGAACACTGCTATCCTGTACCCCCTCGTCCTTCTCTTCATTAAACTAGACATTCCCAATTCCAGCAACCGTTCCTTGTATGTTTTAGCCTCCAGTCCCCTAATCATCTTTGTTGCTCTTCTCTGTGCTAATGTAGATTGTGCAGTGTTGGTGGTTAAGGCTGGTTAACCACCAAAGGTGGTTAAGGCTCCAGCTAGGAACCAGGAGAAGGTGAATTCTAGTCCTGCCTTAGGCATGAAAGCTGATTGGGTGACTTTAAACTAATCACCAGGAGATGCTGAGTTCTAGACCTGCCTTAGGCATGAAAGCTAGTAGATTGATCTTGATTCAATTACTGTCTCTCAGCTTAACTCACTTCTCAGGGTCGTTGTTGTGGGGAAAGTAGCAGTAGCAAGAGCACCTAGACTTATATACCGCTTCACTGGGCTTTACAGCCCTCTCTAAGCGGTTTACAGAATCAGCATATTTGCCCCCCAATAATCTGGTTTCTCAATTTACCAACCTCAGAAGGATGGAAGGCTGAGTCCACCTTGAGCTGGTCAGGATCAAATTTCTGGCAATGAGCAGAGTCAGCTTGCAATACTGCGCTCTAACCACTGTGCCACCATGGTCAGAGTAGGAGAAGGGAGGTGTATTGGATATGTTCTCTGCCTTGACTTATTTGTAAAAATAATAAAGGTGGGAAATAAATAAACAAAAATACCATCATCTTGTCCAAATCACTGTGAAGCGTCAGTATCGTTCGTTGGACAGTGGAACCCTAACCATCACCATTTGGACCATGGTCTTCTGAACTGAAGCAGTGTAGCCTCAGAACAAGTACAATTATCACAGAGTGTAACACTTAACACCCTTGTAACTCAACCGCGTTCCACAGGATAGCAACTTCTAATTTACAGTTCCGCAAAATGTACCAGAGGCATCTGTGTTTCTGGGAAAGCAGAAATCTATCATCCCCTGTTAGTTTCTGATCTGTGAAGTTAACAGCAAAGAAAAAAAGAAGCACCTTGTAGCTTTTAACAGCGTAATTAACATATAAATTAAATAACAGAGGTGTGAGAATGCAACCTTATCCAATGCCTGGAGAGATGAAAATAGGATCTGTTAACTGTTCTCTGATCCCTACCCCCCCTACCACCCCCAATTTTGCATTTAGAACCCTTTAAAAAAAGAAGAAAAAGGCATCAACAGGAACAATGCTCATTAGAAAATTCCACAGATCTACAGCACTTGAATAAAACTGTTTTGTGAGCAAATAACAGTTTCCCCTAAGCTCCTGAGAACTTGTACTACAACTCCCATTATTTCAAGCCAGGGTGGCTATTGAAGAATCTGAAAGACAGCATGCAGGAATAAAGGGCAGGATTTTATTTTATTTTTATTTTATTTTATTATTTTATTATTATTTTATTTATTTATTTCCTGCCTTCATTATTTTTATAAATTACTTAAGGTGGCAAACATGTCTAATACACCTTCCTCCTACTATTTTTTTTTTTTTTACAACAACCCCAGTTGAGCTGAGAGAAAGGGATTGGCCCAGAGTCATCCAGCTTGCTTTCATGTCTAAGGCAGGACTAGAACTCACCGTCTCCTGGTGATTGGCCCAAAGTCACCCAGCCAGCTTGCATGCCTAAAGCGGGACTAGAACTCCCAGTCTCCTGGTGATTGGCCCAAAGTCACCCAGCTGGCTTTTATGCCTAAGGCAGGACTAGAACTCACCATCTCCTGCTTTCTAACCTGGTGCCT